TGTGATGTTTTCTAAATCTTAAACATCTACATTTTGGGGGCTTAGGGAACCATAATTAGTTGAGGTCTTGAAAAGAAGACTGGCCTTGATACAGTTCATACCCTCACAGATTATGACAAACAGTACTTAGTCTAGGATCTATATCTGCATAGGAACTGTGAGGCCCTTATAGTCACATCTATAGTTCAAACTCCTTGAATAGTGAAACCTTTTACAAAGTTTAAGAATATAACAAGCAAGCAAAAATATCACAATATAGTATAATTAATAATGTACAAGTATCTGTTCTTTTTTGAGGACTTCTATACAGGTATATATTTCTTGTAATTACATCTCACACATCATCAAAGTTCAAAGCAGTCACTTATTTGAGCTATTTTGCTCAACCAGCAGAGCTGGAATGGAGAGGAGAAAGAAAGGAAGTGGGAAACAAATCAGGAGAATTCTGAGAGGTGGTGACAAACTCAATTTTGGTAGAGGCTGTATGAGTAGAAGGGGACAGATGAGAGACTACTGAGGTAGAATGAACAAGATCTGGTAATTAATAGGATATGAGGGATTATGGAAGAGTCAGAAATGGTCACAAGTTAATAAAACTGGGATACTGGGAGAATTGTAGTACTCCTCATAGAGACGGGGCAAGGAAAAATACTGCACAGTATTTTTCTGAGCAAATTAATTTAACCTCAAATCACTATATGCTAGGTTTGGGGTACTGGCAGAACTTTCAGGTAGAAACGTCCAGAAAGTAATGTCTGACACAGGTCTGGAGTTTAGCAGTGTCATGAAGGCTGGAGAGATACATTTGTTGGAGTCATTCTGCACAGAAACAACACTTGTACTAAAGGAAGCTGATGTGATTGCCAAAGTAAAGAGAGCAGAGAAAAAAAAAGAGAGAACCTAGAATATAGATGCTCAATAATTCAGTAAAATAATTTACCATGCAAAAAAGGAGAAGCAAATCAGGTTGGACAAATAACAATGGAAGGCAACATCAGGGACGCAAAGTAATGAAAAAATACATGGGAGGAGGGGTGGTCAATAGCATCAAAAGCTTTAGAGAGATCAAACAGGATAATTACAGAGAATGACCATCAGATTTAGCAATTAAGGGACTGCTGATAACCTTGGAGAAGGCAGTAAAGCTGTGGAATTAGAAGCAAAGGCAGATCACAAGGGGTTTAGAAATGAGTGATAATCCACCGATCTCCTGAAAGAGATCCCCAAAGGAAAACTCCTAGGCATATTGCAGCCAAATTCCAGAGTTCCGAGGTCAAGGAGAAAATACTACAAGCAGCCAGAAAGAAACAATTCAAGTATTGTGGAAACACAATCAGAATAATACAAGATTTAGCTGCTTCTACATTAAGGGACCGCAGGGCATGGAATATAATATTCCAGAGAGCAAAGGAGATAGAATTACAACCAAGAATTACCTATCCAGCAAAACTGAGTATAATCCTGCAGGGGAAAAAATGGTCATTCAGTGAAATAGAGGACTTGCAAGCATTCTTGATGTAAAGACCAGAGTTGAATAGAAAATTTGATTTTCAAATATAAGACTCGAGTGGAACATGAAGAGGTAAACAGGAAAGAGAAAATCATAAGAGACTTATTAAGGTTGAACTGTTTACATTCCTGCATGGAAAGATGATATTTGTAACTCATGGGACCTTTGTCAGTATTAGGGTAGTTGGAGGGGAAAAAATCATATGTATGTATATATAGATATAGATTAGATAGATAGATAGATAGATAGATAGATAGATAGAGGGCACAGGGTGAGTTGAAAATGAAGGTCATATCTGAAGAATAAAATGAAGGGGTGAGAGAGGAATATACTAAGAGAAGGAGAAAGAGAGAGGTAGAATGGGGTAAATTATCCCACAAAAAAAAAAACAGAAAAGAAAAGGCTCTTACAGTGAAGGGGAAACGGGGGAAGGTAAGAGGGAATGAGTGAATCTTATTCTCATAGGATTTGACTTAAGGAGGGAATAACATACACACTCAATTGAGTGTGGAAATCTGTGTTACCCTACAGGAAAATAAGGGGGGAAAGGGGACAAGAGAGTAGGGGAATGATAGAGAGGAGGGCAGATTGGGAAAGGGAGTAATCAGAAGCAAATACTTCTGAGGAGGGACAGGGTCAAAAGAAAGAATAGAATAAATGGATAGGCGGGATAGGATTAAGGGAAATAGAGTTAGTTTTTCACAGCATGTTGACTATGGAAGTGTTTTGCATAACTGCACATATATAACCTATATTGAGTTGCCTGTCTTATCAATGAGGGTGGGTGGGGAGGGAGGAAGGGAGAAAATTTGGAACCCAAAGTTTTAAAAACACATATTTAAAAAAAATGTTTTCACATGCAACTGGGAAATAAGAAATACAGGAAATGGGGCACAAAAATCCATCATGCCCTATAGGAAAATGGAAGGGGAAGGGGGTAAGAGAAGGAGGGGAGAGATAGAAGGGAAGGCAGACTAGGGGAAGGGGTATTTAGAATGCATGCCATCTTGGGGTGGGGGAGGGGCAAGATGGGGGGAAAACTTGGAACTCAAAATCTTGGGGAAGTAAATGTTGAAAACAAAAAAATAAATAAAAATTACCATTAAAAAAAAAGAAATGAGTGATATAGTAGATGCAGACAATTAATAAGGTGTAAATATCTATGTGCAATACAGTTCAGGTTGGGTTTGAAAACCTGATAGATAAATAACTAGTGCTTGTAAGGTTTTACATTTATTATTGATGTTCAGAAAGACCAGTTAGCTTGAAGCCCCACTAAAAAGATGAAAATGCATCTTGTTCAGGTATACCAAAAGACCTCAAAGTGTGATTCCCCGGACCCCTGGGGTGACCCTTTCAGGGGGTCCCATGAGATCAAAACCATTTTTATAATAATATTAAGATGTTGTAGTTTCTAATCCAGTAAATATTTTCAGATATAATCCACATAAACAAAAGTGTTTTGGGGAATTTTCAATAATTTAGAGTATAAATGGAGTCCTGAGACCAAAAAGTTTGAGAACCTCTGACCTATATTATGAAATAACTGCTAGGACACACACACATTAACATTATCATAACATGCAACAAGAATCAGGTGTAAATTATTTCAATTGACACTTCTGCAACTTTTATAATCAGGTTGTATAAATCAAGCTATAAAATCTAACAAAGAACTGGATTTTATTTGGTCTTTTGAGAGTCATTTTCTTTTGTTTGTAACCAAACTATTAAAGAAAGTATTCCAAACTTAATGTTTGAAAAATATTAAAAGACTTTTTCAATTCAGTCATATGAAGAAATATATCAAAATGTTAATTACCATTTCCCATTTGAGAAATATTTACAGTAACCATTTCCACAACACTCAATAACAAAAGTAGACAACTGAAATTTTAAAAATTCAAACCATTCACAGTTATTAGTGCTCTATTCCTTTAACGTTGAAAAAAAAGAAAGATGAGTAAAGTGAGGAGAAAGTACATTAAAAGGACAAGCAGATGCTTATTCCTTAGAAAGGCAATGGCATTCATTAGGTTTTAAATGGAAGTGTATGTGGGATAGATGCAGCAGTGATGATATTAATTTCCAGTTGCTTCTCCACATACAATAGAAAGACTAGGTCACAGAGATTCCCCAAAAGTTCTACCTTACTAAAACTTTGTAGGGTAAGTAATTTAAAAAAAAAAGCCAACCCATTTAAAATATTAAATTTAAACACATACACATACATACACAAAGGGAATGTCCACATACAAAGTAGAACAGGAAAAGATGATCACATTTGAAACTATGAATTTCTATTATCTATCCTTTGCAAACATATATAATAAAAAATAAACATGTTATGCTGAAAACGGTCCCTTTTTTTCCTTCCTGAACTTCCTAAAGTTCTGTAAATTTAAAAATACACACACACACACACACACACACACATATCAATGACTATCTTTTCTTTTTTTTTTATCCTGAATAAAGTATTTCTTTCCATAATTCTGTTCAGGGGCCAGAGCTGGGGTGGGAGTAGAGCTGATTACTGGCATACTAATTTATTAGAAGCAATTTTGACTAATTTTGAAACCAGTTAATTTTCAAAACCTAATTAGTCCAAGACACACAAAACCCAATAAAATAAAATAAACAAATAAAACACTCTAACACTCATAGTTGACTATTATTACAAGATTTTTATACACTTTTGGGGAAGAAACATGGCACTGTGAAATGAGAGCCTGCCTCAAATCACAAAGACTTGATTTTAAGTACTGCCTCTATCACATACTAGATGTGACTAACTTAACCTTCCCCATGGAATCCTCGAGGGCTGTAAGTTGCAGAGTAGTTCCAGATCTAAATTAGCTGAGGGAGTTTTTCAGAAACAGTACCACACATCAATGAAATTACAGGTCCTGACATCACAATAATAATGCCTTCTCCATCTTAATCAAAATATTAACTTTAGGAAGGCACAAGTCTATTGGATAAATAGTTAAGAGCTTTATATACTTCCCTAACAGTACAACTAAAATCACAGCAATCCAAACTAAAATCACATCAATCCAGGAAACGTAAATATATAAAATGCTACAAACAGGTTAGGAGCTTCTCATACTTCTCTTAAAAAGAACTATAAAAAGAAAGTGAATTTGAGGAAAATGTACTTATATCAAGAAATAAGTCATCAGAAAGTGATATAAAAATTCATTACTTGCTTCTGTGAACACTTGCATAGTTCCATTCAAAAGACAAAATACCTCTTGATTAAGCAAACAGCAGCATAATCTAAGACTCTGGAAACTATTTTTAGTTAATTTTTCCAAATATTTTAGGGATTAAATTCTAATAGTGAAAAGTATATACCACTTTCAAAATGTAAGCTTTTACACACAAAGAAAGTTGGATTATGAAGGCACTCATTCAATTTTAATTCAGCAAAGAAACAGTAGTAAAAAAAAAAATCAAATTATTCTCAGTGACATTTCTAACCTACCTGTATCTTCAATAAAGTTCACACATTTTTCAACGAACAGTGGTATAGGCTTCTCAGGTGAAACCAGATCCTGTAGGGGCATCCCAAAGTAATTACTTTCCCAATTCCTACGGGTTGGTGGATTGAAAGTCTTAGTTTTCTTTTTCTGCTACAATAAAACATATTAAAGTTACAATTCTATTAACATCAGGCCATTCAAAAATAATGCTATTAGTATTAAGCAATAATTTTTTTTTGGTCAAACAAGAAATAAAACAATCTATGTGACTATATGACAGCAATAAATGGAAATTTTTTTTTAATGTTCATGGCACCTCATATTTGTAAGGTGCTTTGAAATGAAGTTGTACTTCCTATCTAGAAAGAATTGGTGATATACATTCCTATTTTATTTTTATATAAAAACTGAGTCAAGGGAGCTTAAAATACATTGCAGAGAACAGCAATCCCTATTGATATTAAGTCACATGACTACATGCACAAGATGCTTTTAAAGTTAGGGTGAATATTCATCAAAAAGGAAAACTCCACCACATTAAGTCAGGTCACCTAAAAGCTGAGCTTCAACATGCATCTACACTGATACTTTAACATACTCAGGGGAAGAGTCACTTCTAAAATTCATGATTAGGACTAAAACTGTGTACTATAGTATGGCTTAAAATAATTTGTTTTGAGAAACTGCGACATTTCTATTAAAATCAACATCCTCTCAAGGTAAAGGGGAACAAATGATCATTTCTATTAAGAAGTTACATATTTTTCCCTTTGAGTTCCATGGGAATACAGTTTAAATCTCTCCATTAATCAAATATTACACATAGAGTTGTGAATAATCTAAATCCAAAACTGTTACAGAAGCAGAGCTAGCACATGAAGTTCTAATACACTACTCCCCTACATTAGATAATAAAAGTACAATGGTAGATATGAGCATGGTGTTGTTATTCACAATAAAATGCAATTTTGTTCTATGTACTTCATGGTACCAGATATTTTATAATTGAAAAAAGCAAAGGCACAAACATCTAGTTGTGGACATAAAGTATTTAGAGTAATTACAGCATGATACAAAACTGCTTTGTATCAGACCTGGAGTCAGGAAGAACAGAGATCAAATCCAGCTCTAGACACTAGTTATGTGACCTGGGCAAGTCACATAACCCTTTTGCCTCAGTCTGAGCTGGAGAAGGGAATGACAAACCACCCCAATAGCTTTGCCAAGAAAACCCTAAATGGGGTCATGGAGAGTCAGACACAACTGAAACAAGTGAACAACAACAACAAAATTACTGCATGGTCACTAAATTTGAGTGCTCTTCTATATGATTACCTTTGAGGAAAGATTATGGCATAAGCCTATGTTTTTCTCCAGTGCTTAAAAAGAATTTACTGGGAGCTTAGTTCATCAGATAAAATTGTGTAAGCACTTTTGTGTCAGGCAGTTGTTTCAGTCCTGTCTGACTCTCCATGACTCCATTTTAGGTTTTCTGGCAAAAGTTTCTGAAGTAGTTTGCCATTTCCTTCTCCAGCTCACTTTACAGATGAGGAAACTGAGGCAAACAGAGTTAAGTGACTTGCCCTGGGTCACAAAGCTAGTAAATGTCTCAGGTCTGATTTGAAATCAGGAAGATGAGTCTTCTTTACTCCAGGCCCAGTGCTCCATCCACTGTACCACTTATTTGCCCTGTGTATAATAATAGACTTCATTAATATTTACATTTAAGGTATTTTTAAAAAAAATTTAAACTTATATATTTTTTAAAAAGAGATACTGGATATAAGATGATTTTACATGAAACCATGAATCTCCATTTAACAATACTACATATTTCTCCAAAAAAAAAAATGTAAAAAAATTCCACACATTACTTTCAAAACTGTCTTGCTTCCTTCTGAACTTCTATTCTCTCCTGTGCATTTTAAAAAATGTATAATGTTTCAATGACCCTCTTTTTGGGAGGTCATCATTACTGCTAACTCTTGGGGAGGGGGGAATATTTCTTTTAACAAAGAATCCATCAGGTAAAAATGAATCCACACAGTGGCAAGGTCCAAAAACATACATCTCTGCAAGTGTGTTCAACACTTCTGTCAGGAGATGGTTAATATGCTTCATCAGCATCTGGTGGTAAAATGGATAGTGCTGGGCCTGGAGTCATGAAGATTTGAGTTTGAATATGGCCTGAGACACTAGCTGTGTGGCCCTGGGCAAGCCACTTAACCCCTGTGTACCTCAGTTTCCTTAATTGTAAAACAGGAATAAAAATAGCCCCTACCTCCTAGGGTTGTTACAAGGATCAAATAAGATTAATATTTCTAAAAAATGTTCTATCCACATCAAGAGAACAAACTATGGAGGTTGAATACAGATCGAAGCACACTATTTGTTATTTTTTTCTTCTGTTTTGTTTTGTTTTCACTTTCCTGTGGTTCCTCTTATTGGTTCTAATTCTTCCTTACAACATCACTAATGTGAAAATATGTTTAATAGGAATGTATATGTATAACCTATATCAGACTGCATGCCATCTTGGGGAGGGAGGGGGAGAAAAGTTTAAAACTCAAAAGCTTATGGAAGTGATTGTTGATAAATTAAAATAAATTAATAAAAAAACAAAAATGCTTAAAGTCTCTGGCACATAGTAGATGCTATATAAATAAATGTTATTCCCTTCCCTTCTATCAAAGGTCCTCTGGAGTCATGGTTGGTCATTGCATGTTTTCTCATTAACCAAACCCAATGCCTACAATGTAGTACCTCCACATTTTCACTTTGAAGAATTCCTCATATCTTTACAAGATGAAGTCAAGAACCACATTCTACAGGAAATCTTTCCTGATCACAACTGTAAGTGACCTGCTTCTCTAACAATTTAGCCACTTTGTAATTATTCTGCATATACTTACAGGTACATGCTATCTCATTCAACAGAATAAAAGTTCTTCGTGAGCAAGGACAGTTTCATTTTTGTCTCTATTCCCACACATACAGGAGGTACTTAAAAAAAAAAAAGGTTGAGAGCTTTTTCTCCACAATGTCACCAGCCCACAAGTTTCATTTATTTTAATTATTTTTGCCAATAAGAGAAGAAAGGAGAGAAGAGAGAAAGAGGGCCAAGTGGAGAGGGCCCAGGGCAGATCCCTGGGATATTTATTATTCACAGGTGGTGGGAAATTGATGATTCTACAAAGGAGATTTTAGAAGGTTTGACAAGCAAGAGAACCTTGAAAGAATAGCACCATGAAAATCCTGGGAGGTATGGTGCAGGAAGGGGATGGTCAACAGTATCAATACAAGAGTGGTCAAAAGACAAAAACTTAGAAAAGGTCACTAGACTTAGGAATAAGAAAACCGTTTCAGCCAAATGGTAGGAACAAAGCCAGATTGCAAGGAGGTAAGAAGAAATGGTGAAAATTATGGGAAGAAACAGATACAGAACAATAGCTTGCAGGTCATGAGACAAAACAAATTTAAGTATAGCAGGAGAAACCTGAACATGGTTGAAAGCAAAAGGGAAGGAGAGCTAAGGAATAAGATGTTTAAAATTAGAGAGAATGGATGATCGAAAGGACAATCTTTTAGGAGAATGAAGTATCTAAGACAAAAGCAGATAAAAGAGTTGGCACTGACAAAAGCCTTCTCATCCTCCAAGACTGGAGTAAAAGAGGGAAAGATGGAGTAGGATGCTGAGGTGAAGTGAGGAAAGGGAGCTCATGATGGATAGCCTTAATAATTTCTTGAAGCTAAGTATTAGATGAAGACTTCTGCTGAGAAGAGAAGATTTTAAACAGTTGCCTTAGGGAATGTGCTAGAACCATCAGAATGCCTCAAAGAGCTTTTGTTTATGTGGATTACAGCTATCAATATTCATCATATGAGAAATAGCTTGACCTCATACACCCTCAGGGTAAACCTGGAACCACACTTTAAAAACCACTTTGCAAGAAAAAAATTGATTAGAGAAGTCTGTGAGGACCAGAATGGAGCAGTACAGATCCTGGTGAGACTGAATAACACTAACTCATAGAGAACGCAACATAAGTGTATAACTTCCTCCAAATGGCACTGAGCACATCATGAGGAGATGACAGGGGTAACCAAAGTCTGAAATTTGAAATGGCAGAAACAAAACACTGTGGGCAAGCGATTCAAAGGTCATAGACAGTGTACAATTGAATTGGTTAACTAAAAGGGTGAAGTTTTGAAGGGAGGAAATTAAGGCCAGGAGTACTGTCCTGAGAAAGCAAGAAATGGTAAAGTAATGGAAGGTTACAATGAGATTAAGAGTAGGAGTGAGGCCCAGGAAGCAGTCAAAGAACAGGAGTTATGGTTAGATAAAGGAGTTATGGCTAGATAAAGAAGTTATGGTCTGGGGAGGTGGAATATTGTGGGTGATGATGAAATCGCGGGTATTACCATTCCTATGAATGCCTAAGGAAGAGTGAAGGAACATACCTCAAAGGAATTGAGTAGTCTTTCCATGAGGCAATTTCTTCCAAACATTTCTTGGGAAATTAATTTTTTTCTTATACTCCCCCCCACCAAAAAAAAACAACTAAGAAATCAGGGAAAAGTGTAATGATTCTCCTATGAAAATTAAATCAACACTGGGGATGTTATTTATTCAAATCCACTAATGCCAATTAGAAACCAAGTGCAGGAAACACTGACACCCAGAGTTGCTGGTTAAGGTCAACATTTCTATAAACTGGGACAGGAGCATGCAGGAGCAGCAGTCACAATCTAATGAGTCAGCCTTGCTAATGAATGTTATGTATGTGTGTGTATGTGTATGTGTGTGTGTGTGTGTGTGTATATATATATATTTTTATATGTATGTATACAAATGTATCACATACACAATTTTGTGTGTATGTGCATTCGGCCCTGTTTGCTGATAATGTCATTCTTGCAAATAAAATATATACATAGTATACTTTATACAATCCTATGAGCAGTGCTCCAAAAAATAAAGTTTTCTAAGCAAAATAAGTCCTTATATTGGCAATTTCAATATATGATTCTGTGTAGTGCTGTTAACCTTGCCAGGAGAGCTGAATGTTATGTGAATTATAGCTATCAAATACTATCCAATACAAACCTAGTTTGTTGGCATTTTCCAGTGTTTGAATATTCACTATAGG